TTCCGTCAAAAGTCAATCTCATTAAAAATGATATATATATTGATTTTCATTTTTAAAAAATTATAAGTAACGTTATAATGCTCTATAAAATTTGCCGGATCAAAAAGTCAAAATGTTTTGACTTCAAAATTTGCCTGATCCATTTTTAAGACGGAAGGTATCGGAACGGACGCACTTTGAACATATATATCATTTTTAATGAGATTGACCTTTGACGGAACGGATGTAAAAAACGGATCCGTCTCCACTTTGAATGCATCCTACATGGTAACCAAAGTATTTCAAATCATTCCTGATATACATAAGTTTCATAAATAATAGCTGGCTTTCTTATTAGAACTTTGAATCTCTATTAATTTAATTTATTATAAAAAATGTTATATCAGTAAGATGGGCAAATTTTATTTAAAAGATATAGTGTTTTATTTTGAAAACTATCTGAAATTAATGATAATTGATAAATAGGTATCTAATATCTCATTTTTTAGCTTTAAGTTTAATAGATAACACTGTCTCTTATATATTAATATTATAAATACTACTCCACTTTCCATTTTCATAACATTAAATTATTTATTAAAATTAAAACATAATAAAAACTTACAATAACTTTTGTAAAATAATAAATTAAAAATATATTATAATTATATATCAAATAATGAATTAATGTGAAAAATTAAATTTTCATAGTAAAATAATATATATAATAAGAACCATAGGCGTAACCAGGATTTTCCTAAAGGGGTGGGGGGGGATTAAAAAATTCTAGGGGCTTCGCCCCAAACCCTATTTTAGACGGGTCTTCAGGTCTGCTTTTGCCCGTCCTTCGGCCGGGTTACTTTAGTCTATATATAGTCATAAAATATTTTACCAAGATAGGAGGTTAATTTTTATTAAAAAAAATAAGCCTGGAACAAATATGAACTATATTTTTATTAGTTTATATAAAATATAATAAATTAATTGTATATACATTAATATAAAGGCATGATAATAATTTATTCCAAACAAGTATAAGAAATTTATTTATAAGTAAGTAGACATATAGTTGATATCCCTCTATTATATAGAATTGGTTGCAAAATACTAGGTAAAATTCCACTTTTACAGACATATTTGACAGTTAAAGAATATATCACAGTTGATATTTTAACAAATTTTACTAATCAATTTTCTTGATAATAAATATAGCAACAATTTGCATTCAAATATTTAACGCCATCTATACAATTTAAATATAAAAGGATAATAAATTAATCGTCATATTATTTATTCCACAATGTCTTTAAAAAATATTTTCTGATGTCCTTATCAATATTTCATAGTTTTCTGTAAAATATATAATTCTCTATATTGGTAAAATTATTTGATTGTCATATGATAATTGATAAAATTAGTTATACTGTAAATCTACTGCATATAATATTCCACTGTTTGTATTTTGCTCTAATTTTTTATTTTAATTTATAATTTAATTTTATTGATATAAAATAAATAAATTAAAATTACTCACTTTATAAAAAATTATATTTGATATATTTATTAATAATTTTATGAATCTATTTTTAATAATTATAATACATTTCACTTTTGTCTTAAGACTTATCTTTGGCTTATATTCTATTTCTTAAAAAACATTTTATTTTTGGTTCGCTTTTTTTATATATAAATGCTTTTTCCAAAAATATATAAATTATGATAAATAGTTTTATAAAAAAATATCAACTTTTACATTCTTTCTTTCAAATTATTGTTTAAGATATATGAATACTTGGGGGTCAGGGAGTGGGGGGAGGAAGTGGGATATTTTTTATTAGCTTAAAATGATATTCACAAAAAGTGATAAATTTCTGAAGAGGGGGAATTCCCTCTTGCCCCCCCCCCACCTGGCTACGCCTATGATAATAACAAACATTGAAACTCAACATATACATATAATCCCATTAAATAAGCACATAATGAAGAAAATATAATCTTTCATAAATATTAAATGCAAAACAAATTCATAAATTATGAGAAATTTCATAAATATCTTATCTAGCACGTTGGTCATAGACCTGTCCAAAATGAGTGAACATGAATTTTATGAAGGCCCACTCTTTATAAAATTATGCCGATTTTTTTTTCTAGGATACCAACAAACCTTATACCCAGTTGTAATTTAACAAAAATGAGTGGAACTTACCCTTTCCTATTTTGTAACAGTGATATTTAATAATGAGTATTATAAAAGAAAATATAAATTTAGTAATTTTATCTATTTTTGAAACTATAGAATAACCACATCAATAATATAGAATGAGTTAAGAATATTTGAATCCCTAGAATTACCACATCAATAATATAGTATGAATTAAGAATATATAGTAATTTCCATTTCATCGTTAATTTTAATTCATTGAGTTTTTGTGAATCTTCTTATCTTATCTAGAACGTTGGTCATGAAAGAAAATTTTGGTTTTTAAATAATATCAAACATATGCTTTTAATAAAATACTCAAGAGAGCTATAATTAAAAGTAAAACAATTTCATAAATTTTAAATGCAACCAATGACTAATAATATTTACCTAGTGACGATGCATTCATTAATAGTGTACATCAATGAAAAACAGATGGAGACGCCATTTTAGTTACCCATAATTTTAAATGAGGCCAATTTATTCTTATGTCTGAAGCAAACCTTATGATCATCGAGTTAATAAGGAAGTAATTTATCTAAATAGCAGTTTTTAAGATGAGAGTTATTACTATATGAGTTACCAAAAAAAGCGGATCCAGCTGACTTGCATTCATCAGTCTAGGTATTATTATATGCCATTGATTGCAACACTTTCATCAGCATTAATTGCGAAACAATTTTAAAAATATTAAATGCCAAACAATTTTATTAAATTAAACAATTTTATAAAAATTAAATGCAAAACAATTTTATAATATTAATGTTGTGTTTTGCTGAAACCCCGTTAGTTTCGTGTTAAATATATATATATTTGTTGTGGTTATATATTACTTTACAATATCTTGTTATGAAATTTTCTTCACCTAAAAATCTTTTATAATAATACTTCTTTCACAGCCTCCCCACATTGTTTGTCATATTTTGTCCCCTTTGCCCATCATTCTGTACTCTTTTTTTTATGAAATTGCAAATCATAAAACCTTGTTATTATATTTTATTCACTTGAAACTGGTCCTAGCCAGTTTTAAGGATGGGATGGCCAATATGTATCAAATCTTTATGAAAATACTTCGATGAATTTTTTTCAGAGGACACAAACAAATATGGTTGTCAACAAATTTTTAGAAGAAGAATAAAATATGTAATCAGGATCATTAATTATCGTCTCTTGGTCTAATTCACCGATAACCCCGGACCATCGAACCCAGTCGATCCTTTCCCTTTTCTATCGTTAAACTCCTACCGTCGTGGCCCCAACCATTTCAATTAAATGCTCAAGAATTTCATCATTCATAAAAGGTAGAATAGGGCTGACTGACTGAATAAAACACATCATGAACTATACAAAATTATTTATAATCTTATTAGAATAGTTTGCTCATATGCTTAAGATTTTTGAGCATCTTAAGCGAAATTTAGCGAATAGCTAACCGACAAAATACATAATTATAACTTTAGTAAAGGCGGTACGATACACATCACCCTGAATTTATAGTGATGCGCGATTGCGATATCGTAAGCGACCGATCAGCTGGATCGATTTTCATTCATAGTGCAAAGCGATTTTGTTAATTCATAAATTTTTAGCTATCAAAATTTTATTTTTATACAAAATCATCATGAAAAGGGGCGATAATTTTTAATTATATGAGAATGGCCAATAGTTATTATTCATATGCCACCATTTACTCTCACTGACTTTGTGAGATTAGCAAAGGTGTAATATATGTATATTATATTATGTATAATTTATTTAAAAGGAGTTTAAAATAAAGTGGAATTTACCTAACTGTGTTGGTAGTATTGATGGACACTTATTGCATAATTTAATATAAATTTATTATGCTTATATTTATTCTAAAATATTATAGAAAAATATCATGTTTATAAATATATTTTTTATAAATTAAATTATATCTTATTTTGTAGATTTTCTAATAAAAATATATTTACTATTAATATAGTCTATATTCATTATAAAATATAAATGGCACTAAAAAAGTTATACAGTATATAATTTTATTTATAAAAAGCAAATAAGGTATCAATATTTATGAAAATATATTTTATTTAATTTATACAAAATAATTTTATTTAATTTATACAAAATAATTTTATTTAATTTATACATAAATATTATAGATTAAAATTGTGTAGAACATCATATATTTGATTAGTTAAATCATTTTTCTGCTTTTCAGTACATTTATCCAATTCATGCCATATTTAATATTTTTATTTTTAAGCATCTAGTATTCTTTTCTCTTCTAAATATTTTTATAAAGCAAATAATAAACATATATTAGCAATGTCATTAAATTTTCTCTTAGGACATTTATAATATGAACTACAAGATTCAATAGAAGATATAGATCCATCAATATAAATAATATATTTTTAGATATTATTAATTACCAGATTCAGTACCAAGCTTAATTAATGCAGAACTTTTGGGAATAATTATATCATTCGATGTATTGTCACTATCAATGAGATCAGCTTAAATAAATATATACCAATTCAAATGCTATATTTTACATTCATTTATCTCCCCTGTTATTTCATTAACACCTCTGTTAAATCTGGTGGTATAAATTCTCCTTCCTTATCTAATGAGGACTTTTGTAATTTAAATGATAATTTTATTTTGATTCATAGGTTTGATATCTTCAAAAAATGTCAAATTTGAAAAGATGTAAAATATTTCGTGCTATATTTACCAAAGGCGGTATTTAACGAATCAATATTTCAAAATCACGCGACAAATGCATAATGATTTGTGTTTTTAAAAAGCGCGGCATTAGCTTTTGCGACTATCTTATCGCTAACTATAAATGCGATATGTTACTGTATTTTGTAATTATGAATGAATGAATTCAGGGTTAGCTTGATAGGCACGAGTTGCTTATTTAATTAAACTATGCGAAAAGTAAATATTTCACTTTATATTATATTTATATAAATAGATATGGATAATTATATTCCTCGTAATACTTTTGGACATTGTTGCTTTTAGCAGTGTTTTACCTTTATTTCCTTTAATATTTGAATATTACAATTTGGTTGAAAAGAAAGTTTTTTAAATACTTGTACATATATTAATTAATTTTCTAGAAATATGGGGTTCATTACTTTATATTAACTACTATCAATAATCTTTGTGAAATTTTAAATATACCAATATCTCAAAAATTTATCAGTGTGTTATTTGGAGGTTAATAATTGTTTATAATGTTTTTTAAAAATTGAGCATTTCAAATACTGCTTTGCAAACTAAACTAATAATGGTATGCAAATTGATAAAAATTTTCAATTTGCCTAAAATGAATTAATTATGGAAATGCCCAATTTTTACCAGTAGATTAACTCTGCCAAAATTATTATATTTACATTTAAACATCTAGTAATTATAAATCATAATATGAAATTGTATAGTTATTTATAAATAATAGTCTATTAGATACCTGTGAATTTTGCAAAGAGTCAGGCTTAGCTCATTAAATTTTTATAAAAAGTCTGCCCAGACTTGTTAATAATTTCCTCTGGCTATCTTCCTTCACATATGTTTATTAAATCAATTGTGTTTTATATATGTATTCAGAAGTACTTATTAAAATGTCTATTAGGGCTACATTTTTTTTAAAAGTATAATAGAAAACTATGCTAGAAACTTTATATTAATATTTATAGTTTATCCAAAGTCAACAAGATATAAAAAATTCTTCATTTTAAGATATAATAAAATCTACATTAAAATTATATATTAATCTTTAGAGTGCTCTTACAATCATTATATTTCCTCAAAAATTTTCTAAATTTCCTGAATAAATATCTTTATAAATTTATGGTTTCTTGATGACAATGTAATGTATTATCCATACCTACTTCATTTGCTGGCATAACTATTTCTGTAACTTCTGATGAACTTTCATGAATCTGAATTCTTAGCTACATATGTTTCCCCAACATTCTCTTAGGAGGCTTCTAATAAAATCCTGTCTTCTCTTTTATCACTTCCTTTCTCCAACTTTTGCTATTTTTATTGTTTAACCAAGCAGGTTGTGAAATCTTGAACTCTCCCCTTCAAATGTATATCATGATTTTGACTTAGTCTATCATTTGCATTTTCAATCTCATGTTCTAAATTTGGTATTGGTTTATTTATCTGGCCAGAACATCTTTTTATACAATTATTTATATCAATATCAGACCTGAGGCACAATGATATAATTTAAAATTGTTACATTTTCACCAAGGTATCCCTGATTTAGCACTATATTCCCTAATTGGTATCATAAATCTTTTTATTCTATGATAGCATGATCAATAAATAACTTCTTAATTATAAAAACTATCAATTTCTTTATCTTTATGACTAGCAAAACTTTGTTAACTTTGCTGAATATGACTTGCTATGTTTTTATGATGTTAAATTCTGCTACAACTCTTTATAAACTATTTTCTGACAAATGCATGTCATCCAAATTATTCTTTAAATCTCCAAAGCATATTAAGAATCCTGATTCTCTTCCATGTCCAATATCAGAAGCATTGACAATGCATCCACAATCAAACACATATTTACATTCAGATCAATATTCAATTGTGAAATCATAAGAAGCCATTTCCAGGCCCAACAAGTCAAATGATTAATAGAAATTTAAGGTATATTTCACTCCTCTCCAAATAATCGCTCTAATGGTTTGTGATCAGTTTGAAGTAGGAATTTTCTTTCTCTGATTTTAATAAAGACTGAGCCACAAACAAGATAGATTTTGTCCTTCCATCTACTAATTGATGCTACAATAATCCCGACACCTGAATCAGAAGCATTGCATTCCAAAATCATTGGCAACTGCATATTGTAAGGAATTAACCTTTCATCAGATGATAATTTTTTAAACTTCTCAAAAAATTCTTGTTCCCCTTTCATCAACTGCCAAGGTATTTTCACTAGTAAATTATTTAGTATCACATTTTTATTATGTAGATTTCAAATAAAACGTTCATGATAATTCATGAGTCCCAGGAAAGATCTAAATTCTATTTTATTAGCGCATTCTGGATAGCTTTCACCTTTTCTGGATCAGAATGTATACAGTATTTATCAATAATCAGTCTTAAAAATTATATCGATCCTTAAAAATCGAATTTGTTTCAACCAGAAGTAATTACGTAATCTAAAAATACACTAGTCATTTGACAATCTTTAAAAAACCCATCCATTCTCTGGAATATAGTAGGTGCATTTGCAAATCCAAAAAGCATTCATCGATAACGAAAAATAAACATGATTAAGCTTAAATTTGAAATCAGCAGATATTCGAATATAGTAATTAGACCACGGTACCATACTTATAGTCGAATCAATCTTTTCGATAATCCGGCAATTACTAATCGGTTTAATTCTATCTCATTTTCTAAGTAGAAATGGTAATCTACATGTTGGAAACAATCTTGGTAACGCGGTATCCTTTAAATATATTCGCACCACAAAAATCTAATCAAAAAATTCTTGATGTTTACCAACCAATTCTAGAATTTGCTGATCCAGAACCTATTCTTGATCTGTCTATTCTAACGCCTTATAATAATTTTATTTTATAACAAATTTAAATGTTTTATCGATATTCAAGATGTTTGTACATAAAAAAAAGCTGTCAATCTAGTGCCAATACTAAGATATACACATTTATATGTTAAATCTAATTTAAGGTTAAAATGTCCATATAATTTTTTTTACCTGTTTGTCGCCAATAGAAATCTATGGTAAACTAACATAAAAGTCAGTAAAGACTTTATCATATCATATACATTCATAGTTTATTTAAAGTCAATTAGATAAAATAATTTCTGCATTTTATACATAATAATTTCTATATTTAAGAAATAATCTTTAGAATGTTCTTTTTAAAAAAAATAATATAATCAATGCCCTAATAAAATTTTAATTAATTGTAAAAAAAATCAAAAATAGTTTGTTATTTTAGTTTTATATACAAAATCTTATTTTTTGTTTCCCTTAATGATTTTTATAATATCAAAGTTGAGGAGGTACTCTAAAAAAGAATCTAGATACATATTCTTTGTAAAAGATGGATCTTAGATACAGATAATAGGATTATTAAAAATAACAGGGCTGTTTCGATCCATAAATTTTTCAATAAACCGGTTTAATAACCGATATCAATTCGTTATTTATTTTAAATTTTATTTACTATCTATCTTTGAACCAATGTCATTGTCATAAAAAATTAATATTTTTTATTAAAAAACAACTATTCCATGAATGACAAAGTGTATTTTGTTATTTTTATTCTCCAAAAAGTAATCTCATTCGAACTATGGGCAATACTTATTGTTGAATGTTATGAAACGCGATTTAGCATATATTTAAAGATGGTTGAATAGCCAAAATATTAATACTTATGTCTCAAAATTGCGTCAATAAATGATTAAACCTATCTAACATCTCCAAAATCTCTAAGCTTGGGTAAATTATTTTTGGCAAAAATCGCGAGTTAGACTTTTTAAAAATCGAGGCATTTAACAACAGCTGAATGTAACTTGTTAGATATGTTTGAATATTTTTCTTGATACACATAATATGACATCATATTTAACTAAATTTTAAAATAATACTATTTTTTTAAACATTAACATAAATTGAATTTTGTTTCATTTTATTAATTTATTATTAATAATTAAGGTTGTACCGATACTACTTTTTAAAGTGATCATATAATAAATTGGTATCGGCCTATTACCGATCCGATATCACATCGGATATTTATAAATATTTAAAATATGATAAACAAAATGTGTAAAACAAAAATACAATATGTAAGAATTTTTATTAATTCAGTAGCAGATATCTTCAAGAATGATGGAGAATTATATATTTTTTCCTTATTATTTGATGATATATGAATCAGAATTTAACCTTTATATTGATGAGGGATTATTTGAATTCATTATTTTTATAAAATTTGTTATTATATATTTAGTATCTTTAATTTATGTTGACAATAAAAAATCTTTTAAACTAAATTTTTATTCATGTATTTGTAATTTATATAACAGAAATATATTCATCATTGATCGAGAAGATTCTGATTCCATCATTATTGATGGGCTATCAACTAGTATAATATATTGTATTAATAAAAATAAATTGATATTTAAAAAATGCTTGTAAATATTAAAATTATTTAGCCTTGACTGGGTATTCAAAAGAAATTTCGACCCGGCAAAAATTAACCTCTTTTGATTAATATCATAATTGTCTGACCCATATATGACATTTTAATTAATTTACACCATGATTTAGGTTTATAATACAAATTGAAAATATAGATTTCAATTTCAAAATTAAATAATAAATTATATTAATTATGATATTTTATCTAAATTTTAGTGTTTATAGTTACATTCATTATATTTCAAAGAGCGCGCTAAAAAATAAATAATTTGAAAAAAGTAGCGCGCTATTAGCTATAGCTACCAAAAAAGGTAGCGATCTGCTTATGACGTTCTCTAAAGATTTTAATGTATATTTTTACAACTTAGTCTAAAAGATAATAAAATTTAATCATCTCCATAGAATGCTGAAAAAATTTCCATCAAGTTTTTAAATTGCAAATCAATTAATATATATAATATTTTTCAATTGAAAGGAATTATATTAATCAATAATAAACTCAATGTGCAAAAAATAATAATCAGTACTTTCCAAAATTTATAATAGGTTAATATCATGGATATTATATAAATCAGACCTGCAGAAGTACCATTTGTACGATCCCGGGTCGGATTTTTTTAAAATAATTTTTGGTTAAAAAATTTTCAGGCCCAGCCCGGATTTTTTAAAAATATATTTTATTTATTTTTGATTTTTACAGCTATTAATGGCGATTTCAAATATTTGGTTTTGAAATATACAGCCCGGCCCGGATATCTTTTTTAAAAAAAATAAAATGGGCCGGGCTTAGGGCTAGGTCTGCAGGTCCCTGATATAAATATGAATAGTAGGAACATGAATTTGTGATAAGTATACACTGTACTGTTATATTACTAACTCTATTTCATTTGATTTACTTGTAAAGTTAATTGATTTATTTATCTTGAATTTTGATGCATAAATTATCAATAGGAAAGACGATTATCAGCTTCAAATAAATTTATTTTCTTATTATGTTAAAATTTCCTATAACAAAATTGTATAATTACTAAAATACTAATGCTGTTAAATGGCTCGATTTGAGCCGATTTTTAAAACAGCGGATTCAATATTTTATCCAGAAAAATATTACTCAGGCCTGAAGATTTTGCTCATAGGTGGCACAAAGTTTTGGACATCTATTAGCGAAATCTCATGTCTTATTCAATATTTTTCTGGCTAAAATATTAAGTTAGCCGTTTTTTAAAATCGGTTTAAAAAAACATTTAACCCGTTTAAATAAAAAAATTAATATTCATTATATGATTTTTTGAATGTTTCAAAAATCAAATATTGGAAGGTGAAGTTCATTTTTTGGTAAAATAATTTTGAGCATTTTATATGAATAACTACGTTACATTTATCACACTTATATGTCGTATTTATTTGACACCATTGGCAACGACCTTGACGATTAGCTTTAATTTACATATGACTTATCTCTACCTCTCGGATTGAATCAATTGAGTATCTTGATGGGCCAGGGCGGTATTGTTTTTTCAAACGTATTTTCAATCAAAGATCATACAATAAACTTCTGAATAGAAGGTCAGACATCCAGCCAGAAGAAATATGCATTTTCCAAGCCACTACAACATATAAATTAAGAAAATTTGAGAATAAGCATAACCACTATTTTTGCTGTGCAATCTGGGGCCTTTATTTATTTTATGAGGTAATATTTGGTTGATCCATATCAATATATGGCTAATATTTAGAACTCCATCTATTGACTTTTATAGAGATTAGTTGATCGTATTGCTACAGGATCACTATCATTCCAATAACACACCAATCTTTTTATCACTGAAGGTTTCATAAGATCTTCTGGGATTTTTTTCATTAGTTTTTGATTCAATGGACAATTTTAGATTCGATTTATAAGAATTGTTTCTGTACAACATAAGCCTTTTTATTCTAGAATTATGCATACATTTGTAGAAGTAGAAAAATTATCAAGAATAGTGCATATTCTTTAACATTAGAAATAACACGTGACGTCTATATTATCTGGTGTGCAATAATTTTATGTTCATCATTCAAATTTTCTTATAATGCTTCCGAAGCTGTTTTTAAATGGTGAATTTCATGCTGGCAATAAAAAATCTAAAAAATTATTACAAATTTAAATTTAGTTATTGTTGTTTACCAATGTTTGAAAAATGGAACATAAAAATATTTTATCTTGAATTAAAATATGCACGGAGAAGAAGAATAGTATCTATATATTAGTGAATATACATGATGCATGCTACAACTCATTATGGGTGATGAAATTGCACTTCATGGAATTTCTGGCGTAGTAATGAATGAATGATTTTTTTGAAAGTTTTTATGCTCATAAAAATCAAGAAATTTTAAAAGCTTTATATTTTACAAAGTTCAAATTTTTTTTTGCATTTTTAGAAAGAAAGGTATGGCGAGACAGGCCACACTTTTTTAATTTATAAATAAACCAAAGAAGTATTCAACGCCAAAGTTGATGTTCCAAAAATCAAACATTGGTGATGAAAACTTTTTCGACTAGTAAATATTTTTAAAAATCTTTAGTACATAAAATAAATTGAGAATATTTTATCAATATAGAATTTTTTGATAAATTCTTTAAGAGAGATAAGGATAAGGAGTAGAATTAAAGTTTAAAGAACTTTAGGATAGGGTCCAGGTCCGATTCTAGACCTATTTCCCAACAAAAAATTCTGCATCTGCTCTCCCCCTCCAAAGATTTTTTGGTTCCTTCTTCGAATGAGCAGTTGAAGATTTTTTGAGCAAAATATCTTTGAAGATCAAAAGAATACAAGGTATTTTTGTGAAAAAAATTTGAGTTGATCTTCAAAAGAGCAAGGATTTTTGAATTTTAAGCATATGTTAAACCCTGAATATGAATCAGAACAAGATTTTGCCAAAGAGAGCAAATTTTTTTAATTAATGTTTTAAAAAGGAGAAAGGCTTGACTTATCTGAAAGGTTATCACCTTTTGAAGATTAATAAAATTATGAGTTATCATTTGACTATATTTCACCTTTTTAATCCATTATTTATAGCACTTAAAAACGACGCGATTTGGGCAATTATATTTGAATAAGACTTATGAATTATTTATCAATTAAAATATATTTGAGAGAGGAGGGGGGTGTAAGGAAAATGTTTTTATTGTTGGTTATAAATTTTCATAATTAAAAAGAAACTAAGCTAAATTATATACTTTATGCGGAAATATAGAGCCCCATGGCATTCATCAAAATTCACAAAAATGTCTGTTATATAATGTAAAGATATTGTAATATTTCTTATCAAGTCCCGACTTCAACCTAATCGAATATATAGAGGATTATAAGTTTCAAAGGCATTGTCCTGGTACATTAACATATTCGATAAATATTATGGGATTCAACACTTATAAGTCGATTCTAGGTAGAATAACTGCCATCATCCAAACAGTGATGTAGCTAAATTTTAAATCTTATGAAAGTTTTAAATTTAAATATACGTCATTTTTTTATTAAATTAGGCCCCACTTTTTAGCTTCATCATACATCTGAAATAACAGTTATAATATCCTAAATAAATTTCCGCCTTTATGTGTTTTATTTTAAAAATTATAGGCCATTGGAAATTTAATGTACGATCATTTTTTAAATTAAATTAGAATAATAAATCTTACAAGATATATAGCAGGGATCCAAACCGAAACGAATATCGGTTCAGGTTCGGATAAAAATAACGGTTCAAGGTTCAGGTTCGATTCGTAAAAAATTAAGATATCGGTTCGGTTCGAACCTCTAAAACCCGGTTTGAACACTTTTGTATTCAAACATACATTCGAATTATGTACAGGAAAAATATTTTTTTATTTTATCATTAATTTAAAAAACACATAAAGAAAACCTTCATTTTTATTAATTGCACATTATAAAATAACATTTAATTTATAAAAAAATATATCAATGATTAATTTTAATATGAACAATATTTTCCTTTTTTTAACTTAAATTTTTTTTATTAAGCCGCACAATTAATATATTTTCAAAATTCGTCTCATTCAAATTACATCTATAAGGAGATAGCATAAATTTAATTATTGAAACATCTTTTCACACTAACTTGGGTGGCCGGCACTGCCAATATGATATCAGATTTGATGTGTCATTTATAATAATATTTTGGATTTAATTTTTCTCTAAGCAATATAATTTATAAGCTTAAGATATTTAAAAAATGTTGTAAAATGACAATATACTAAAGTTTATAAAAATTATGACCGACAATTATCAATCAAATGTGATTGATGATAGATAATCTTTAAATAATTCAAATATATTTGAAATCTAAAAATAACTTGCATATTATTTTATAAGCATAAAATCATGATACTCGAACCGGTTCAGAGGCATTTTAGGAGTTCGGTTCAGGTTCGGCTGAAATTTTTTTAGCGGTTTAGGTTCGATAAAAAATACCGGTTTTTAACGGTTCAGGTTCGGTTTGGATCCCTGATATATAGTTTCTAAATTAAATAATGAATTTAAACATTTTGTATATATTTATGATAATACCCAATACGTTTGGATATAGTAAAATTATTTTTCTATAAATTAGACATTGCCATAACTAATTATTCTTTTTTTAAATAAACACAATGCACTATATAAATATCCTAAATTCGCAACTATTTATATTGTTGCCTTAAAATTTATTTTAGGTAAATGTTATATGATTGATTTTTTTTACTTCATATTTAAAATTAGTACTAATATTGGGGTTTATCCATTCACTAAACTATATATTTTTTATAGGATTACTAGGCTCCTTGTTCTCCTTTTTACAGTTTCTCTCAGCTCCCATATGTGGTTATGTAGCCGACAATTATGGTCGAAAACCTGTTTTGATTGTATGCATGGTAAGTTCACAACTACAATGTTTAATTTAATTGTAACTTAATTTATTAAATAAATACCATCCATTATTTCCAATGTCAATTTAATTGTACAAAATTAAAATATTCTATATAACGGAGACTTGTCCATTCTGGCAATATCCACTCTCCTTGAAATATCATACTTTTTTCAGTCCAATTTTTTTTAGGATGGACCTATTTCTAAAATTAGAGTTCAGATTGAACTTAAATCTTTTAAAAAGTAGTAGATTGTATAAAAAATTACATGAATTTCCCTTTTTCTTTATTAATTTGGATTTTTATTTCTAATTTTGATTTGGTAGGGGAGGGTGGGGTAAAGTTTCACTAGCTTAGTTATATGTAGAAAACTTCATTATTTATATTGGCAGATACTTAAAATTTTAACTGGTACTAGTGGCTCACACTTAAAAGTAATAATTTAAACCTTCATAGATTTAAAAAAATTTTTTGTCTACATTATACTATTCATTTATAAAAAATTTATATGAAATTAAACCGATAAAAAAGAGGGATAGAGAAGGTGCTGTTAATTTATTTCCTATTTAATTTAATTTTATGAATTTCATAAATTAATTACAAATGATCATTTTTTTCAATAAATATTAAATTATATTATTATTTATGGTATCCGAATCAAGTAACGATGGTTACGGCCGATACAATGTTAGCATCGATTTAGACTACGGAGTATTAAATTTTTGAATTCTTAAAGAAATAATACTAGTCATCCAATAAAAAAATCGTTGGATCGAACTCTATTACTAAATAATTTTGGATAGGACTAGGATTTTAAAAAAATAGGATTAGATCTGTCGGACAATTTGTTTCGGATCATTTTTTGAGAAAATCGATTAATATTTGCAATCATATTCTTCATATATATGACTTTGTTGGTAATATAGTGAAATCATAAACAAAATGATTTAAAAAGATGATTTAGTAAAAATGTAAAATTCTCCCTAATGAGGGCTTACATATCTAAAAGATATAAGAGATTATATGCTACAAAGTTCAATTAAAAAGGTATTTTTATAGAATCCATTGTTTTTAGCTCTGTCGAATGACAATTTAGCTTTGCAACTTTAATAAATAAGTAAAATAGAATACTAAATATCTACCTATTTGAAAAATTGATACTTTAAAAAAAATTAATTTATTATCATTTGTTCATTAGGGTAGAAAACAGCTTCGAATATTTGTGATTATAATTAATGAATTTGCAATTGTTAACATAACAAATGTATAATCTATTGTCATATTGTATTCTGTATTTAATGAGAAAACTTTTATATTCAAATATAAAGAATCTAATTTATCTAAAATTTATTCTGTAATAAATAGTAAAAAAATAATAAATACCTGTCGGAGGTAAGGATCATTTACATGTTGCTAAACAATATTTGCGGATTGTAAAATATCTTTTCTATTAAAATGTATTTTATAAATAACTTAACATATATATCGTTAGAATCAACTTGCATAAAATAAAAAGAAGTAAATCAGGCATTAATGGTTATAATGAATATTTATATAAATTTGTTTATTGCTAATTTTGATAATTGATTTTCGAGAAAAAACTGAGAGTGAAAAATGATAGTAGTTATACACATTATCATGTTTCAAATCTATATTTGCTTTAAGCACATTTCAGGGGGAACCGAATCGCCCAACTGGAATTAACCGTTATAACTGAACCATAACCGAACCGTTATAAAGAAAATACAAAAAGAGCGAACCGAACTGTTATAAATATTTTAAAACGGTTTTAAAAAATAATTAATTTTATCCTTATGGGCAATTTCAAAATTCGTGATTTCTTTTCAAATTAAATTTTATTTTATATTATTTACATATCAATCAATACTAAGTTTATTATTTTTACTTTAAATGCTCAATTTAATAGAGATTAGGCAAATTACCGTTAATTAGATAAGATAAAATCTTAAAATCACACAAAACTATTCTTGGCTAAATTAACAAATTTATTCTTTTATATATAATATTAGTTATTAATGAGTTGCTAATAATTTAGGGGAAAATCATATAATTTTACCATTAATAATAAAAATCAAGTATACTGACCACTTTTAATATAATACTATTTTATAATAATTTCTTATTAATAAATATATTCAAAAAAAGTTTGTCTTAGTTTATGGGTAATTTAAGGTATTTATATTTAGTTTAACATCAAAATGTAAAACTTGCTATTAATTTTAACTCTAAGTCTGTTTAATATAAAACGCACAAATAAATAATAGTATAAAAATAATTACAATGTTAGTTAACTTATTTAAACTGAAGATTAATGGTATGATTTTTTATTTAAAAAAAAAGATTTAGAAGTATATTCATTACAAATGCAATTCTTTAATCATATTTTCTATTTTGCATATATGAATAATGGTAAATGCTAACTAATTATTTTAATAATAAATAATTTATAATCACTTATTCTGAATTTTAAAAAAAAACTATATGATTATTAATTATATTGATCATTAAAAATATTGCTGACTATTTTATTTATTGTCATTTAAATTCTATGATCCAATTTTTTTTAAAAAGATTAAATAAAACCATATTATAATTTAAAAATAAAAATGAATGTAAAATTGTTTCTATTAAGCTTTTTATTTATTCTATTTATGTAATAAAAAATTTGAATCTATTCATCATCTATAGTATATCAGTATCTATTAAATGGTTCGGGAAAAGTAATCCTGTGCGATCCTAATTTAAATAAGATATTATAAATAATTTTATTTTCTGTATTCCACGATAGGGAATTCAAATTATTAAAAAAACAAAGAAAATTTAACTATTAAAAAAACTTAAATAAAGAAAAATGCAAATTAGTATAATACAATCCAAAATGCTTTTAAGCCCAGAAACTACAATACAAATTAATATCAATAAAGAAACTTTAACTCGTGCACCGAGTTAATAACAGTTCACGGAAGACCAATAAAATCAATTGACGACAAAGCATTTCTATTATAGGCTCAATAATTATAGGAATTAGATGGAAATTTTACTCTCAATTCGGGAAATATACGTAATAATAATAAAAAAATGGCGTTTGTTTTTTCGCAAAATATAAAAAAGAAATATATCAAAAACTTATTTCTTTAAAATTTATAGCAACTAAATATGATAGTTCCATATTGGGGACCAATATTCAATTTATAAATAATGGAAAATAAAATTAAGAACTCAAAGAGATAAAAAAACGACACACATCAAAATTTCTAAAAAAAAATTATTCTAGATGTTTTAAAAGAAAATGGAATAAGAATTGAGCAAATTTACACGATAAACACCGATAATGTAGCAAATATGATTAAATTAAATAAGCTATTAATACATTACGATGATGAAGATGATAACCTTAACGATTATTTAAATAATGATGATATAGATAATGATAATTTAAATAATAACAATGATATATTGATGATGAAAATAAAGAATAGTGTTGTTAAACGACTGAGTCAAGTCGACTTAGTCGAAAACTGAGTCTAAGTAAGTTTTGGGTCTAAAAATCGACCCAAACTGACTTGAGTTATAAACTCGAGTCGTGATTTCAAATTAGTTTTTTTTATTATTAATTAACAATACAATTATTTATTTATTTTAATTTAGACTTCCAACTTGAGTCGGTCGTGAATAGGAATTACAAGCATTAATTATTATTTATTTATTTTTAGTAAAATAATTTATTTTATTTATATTTAAATATTTAATATATTATAAAGAAATGATATAATTTAATATTTTTTATATTATATTATGAAAATAATGAGTATTTATTTGATATCTTTTAATAAAAAAATAGGCTCAATGTAAGTTAAGTAATATCATTTTTGTTACAATTAATTAGTTATTTTCACGCCCAAATTTTAAGCAAAATTTGATTTGATTTGAATTTTAAATGATTTTTTCTTTTTTGTTAATAAACTTTTTTTTATTAATTCTTTTGTAAATTTTATTATAAATAAACAATTTTTAAGTTGAAATCTTTTATTTATAGGTTTATTTTTATCATTTTTGTAAAATTATCTATTATTTAGTATATAAGAACTAGTTTAAATAATATATTTTTAAATATTTATATTAAACTTTTATAAGTTATTTTACATGATCGTCTTTGTGATAATTGTCATGTTATTTTTTAACATTTATGAAATCTTTGACAAAAAATGATAAAAATATAATTTATATTATAAAGATGTTAAATTATAAATTCAATTCAATGGTGATGTTCCTTTCTAAAAATGACAATTATCATAATTTGTATTTTTAAACATATAAGTTTATTTTTGACGCTAATTGGTAAAAATATAAATTGTAAATATGTTAAATAAAAATTTCAGTGAAGATGTACCCTAGATAAGTGACAATTGTCATAATCGTTATTTCTAAAGTTTTTTGAATTGTTTTGACGCATATAGATAAAAATATAGATTGTAAATACGTTTAAGTAAAAATTCAGTGAAGTTATACCATAGATATGTGACAATTGTCATAATCGTTATTTTTAAAGTTTTTTGAATTTTTTTGACGGAAATAGGTAAAAAATATATAGTGTAAATATGTTAAATTAAAATTTCAGTGAAGATGTACCCTAGATAAGTGAAAATTGTCATAATCGTTATTACTAAAGTTTTTTGAATTTTTTTGACGCAAATAGGTAAAAATATAGATTGTAAATATGTTAAATTAAAATTTTAGTGATAGATATCGTTATTTCCACAGTTTTTGACACACATAGGTAAAAATATTTATTGTAAATAAGTTTAATTAAAAATTATGTGAAGATGTAAAATAGATATGTGACAATTGTAATAATCGTCATTTCTAAAGTTTTTTGCAGCACATAGGCAAAAATATAGATTATAAATACATTTAATTAAAAATTCAGTGAAGATGTACCATAGATAAGTGACAATTGTCATAATCATTATTTATAAAAAATTTTG